ACTCGGGGAATTAGAACCTCAGTCGTTGAGGACTGGGAGTGTCATTTAGGTGCCGCGAATGCGTTACTAATCGACCCCCCATAGTTTAGGATAATCTAATGCGTATCACCGTCGTAACTCTTGAGAGTGGCTAAGCCTCGAGAGGGCTGATGGTTGATAATTCTCGTACGTTGGATCGAGCGTATGTCTTGAAGACTAGTGCATGGATGAAAGACGACGACGTCGTCCATAGGACGAGTGGATTGCTCCGACATCGCGTGAATATCTTGTGCGTTGGCTGCGAGGCACGCAGTTGAAAAAGGTAAGAATTTGTAGTTAAGCATGATGTTGTGGCTCTATATGACTCGATATGTTAAAATTTATGAAAAGCATGCTTATATGATTGAACTTGACGATTATTGCTCGACTGGGATTCTTTAAAACGTGTTATGTGGTGATCGTATGAGTTTATGTGAATTTGTGTTAAATATCATGTTAGGTCTGACTCTGTTATATTGTATATGCGCGTACATTAGGTTTATATTTGATTACATATGACCCTGATGCTATGTACATGAAACTATGTTTTTGGTGCTGAAAAAAAAAAAAACGTATGAGAACTTCTCGTTATAGCCTCTGTTTGCGCTCAGATTTTCGTGGCCTAAAATGTGTTTTCTGGCTGGGTGTTCTTCATGAGTTTCGTAGTGTTTTGAGTTAGGTTTATGTGAGTTTTGGAATTTCATTATTCGGAGTTGAATTGAATTTACTATGAAATTTTAAAATGGAAACTTCAAGCAGTTTTTGAAATTCCGGGCATAATTGAGAATCATGATGTTGGGCGGTTTTTGACAATCTTAATATGACTATGTGAAGACGTGATCAACATGAAATTTGTAGTACATGTTATAAGCTTTCTCTGGAAGTTGAAATCATATTAGTTGGGGTTCTGGTTGATTTATATAAATTTTCAAAGATGGGGTTATGCCCAGAATTCTTGAAATAGTGGCAGTGTATATGACTGAAATGTATGTTCTGAAATGGGGCCTTTAACGTGATTATTCTTAAAAATGCTCTTCTTGAAACTTGTAGCTTTCCTGGTGTAGTGTCTGTAAATTTTGAGTTTATTTGATTTAGAGTGTTATAACATGAGATATCTCTGTTTTAGTGACCTGCTGTAATTTGACAAATGGTTATGTTGGCAGATTTCTTGACCTAAGTGTTTTATGCTTAATCTCAGATTTAAAGTTATTTTTGGCTTAAGTGATCAACATGAAAGTTATAGATAATTGAGTTAACTATCTTGGAGGTTTTGAATTTCAGTAATATCATGTCTGTAGCTTCGTTTATTGTGCATACACTGAGAACCTGTCAAGCTGTATGTCTTCATTTATCCACTGCAACTATGTTTTGTATGTTTGTTGTATTATGTGCATTTAAATGATTTTATCTGCCTGAGTGTTCTTCATGAAAGTGATAGAGGCCTGAGTTAGGAATATTTTTCAAGTGGTTTCATCATGATACGATATCTAGACTAACAGCTACATGCATTTTAAATTCATCACGCATGCTGAAAATTGGTGCAAGTTCATGTTTAGGTTTCCAAATTGAGTTGTAAATTTCAAAAATTAGTTTTTCGTTAATTTTCATGTATATGTGCCCTATGTGACTTAATCTGAATAGTATTATAATGTTAGCTGGAAACACTTGTGAGGGAAGCTTTATGCTAGACCTCGAAGTGTGAAAGCTATAGGTTGTGTATGTGGATTAGACTCGTTTAGAACTGTCGGCACGATTAGCTACCTGAGTAAAAGCTGTCGTGACGGCCGACACTGTTAGTCGGCAAAGTCAAACGAGTTAACCATTCTGTTGTTCGGCGTTGACTGCCGAGTTAGAACTTTTCCTGGCAGTGATGCCAATGTTCGATCCCTTTTGGGGAAATTGTTGTTGTAAAACCCTTTGTCCTGTCGGAGTACTTAAGAAATTGTGAGATTCATAAATTGAAATTTTTGGTATGTGCTCGAATCGAGGGCTGAACCTGACTGGGTGTAGCCACGCGAAGTGGTGGCCGAGCCCCCATGCCCGTGCTGAGAGACGTGAGGCCAACTGCAGTGGCCGATAGTTGACTCGCACGAGAGCTGCCGCCGCCATCACCGAACGCCAAACTCCTCAGGTCAATGTGTATGGCCAAATCTTGACCTTGTAGCTGGTATCCGAGTAGGTACATGCACGCGTCCCAGTGCCCCGCTGTTGGAACCCAAGAGGATCTCGATATGCACAAATCACGGACAAACATTCAACATA